CTACTACTACTACTACTCCTACTCTTACTGTTACTCTTACTGTTACTCTTATTGTTACTCTTACTCTTATTCCTACTCCTACTTTTACTCCTCTTACTCTAACTCTTTACTCTTAACTCTTTACTCTTGACTCTTAACTCTTACTCCTACTCCTACTCTTACTCCTATTTTTACTCTTACTCTGGCTCTTACTCCTACTCTTACTCTTTACTCTGAACTCTTACCTCTTACTCTTATTCCTACTCCTACTCTTACTCCTCTTACTCTTACTCTAGCTCTTTACTTTTCACTCTGAACTCTTAACTCTTAGATCTTACTCTTACTCCTACTCCTACTCTTACTCCTCCTCTTACTCTTACTCGTACTCTTACTCTAACTGTTTACTCTTCACTCATAACTCCTACTCCTCCTTTTACTTTTATTCTTACTCTTACTCTTACTGTTACTCTTACTGTTACTCTTACTCTTCTCTTACTCCTACTCCTACTACTACTCTTACTCTTACTCCTTACTCTTACCTTTAATACTCCTCCTTCTTCTTCTACTACTACCGTACTACTATTATTACTACTACTTCTACTTCTACTACTAATACTCCTGCTGCTGTTGCTACTTCTTTTGCTACGCCAGGCTTGGCAGGAAGCTCCCCATCCTGGCGGTCCTGAAGCTCGAAGCGGCCTGAGTGGCCTGAACATCTTCGTCATGAACGCTCACCTAGCTGTCTTCCAGCTCCTCGCTTCCACAAGTCTAAGTGAAGGCTTAATTACTCTCACTACTCGCCCTTTCAGACATGTGCAAAGGCTTCCTCTGACGGTTCTGCTGCTACCACTGAACGAGCTTCTGAAGCAGACTGATGGCGAAGGACCGCTCTCGGCAAGACAGCTGTCTGCGCTTTCTTCGATTTGCGAGGCATTTTGGCCTTTTCGAGGGAAGCCTTTGCCTGCGTGTTTGGTGGCAGCTGCGGGCCAGACTCCAACCATCCAGAGCTTGCAGGACGTTGTGCCATCGCTGCATGAAGCGTTTTCACTGCATGAAACTGCTCAAGGCTATCAAGCAACGTTGAGACGTTGGCAAGAACTTAAGTCGTAACCCTTGGCTTAAGGTGTGGCCACTTACGTGTTGCTCAACGTTCTCTGGAACTTGAGCATGGTTCTGGCCGTGAAGCATTCAGGCTCGCTCGCCACCAACATCGCCCTGAAGGCGGTGTTCCCTGCTGCTCGGTCATGACAGGGCTCAAGGAGTAGATGGCAGTGAAGAGGAAGCTTTAAAGAACAAGGGCAACTAAGACAGGTGTCTACTGTCCTCTTTGCCTATGTGGACTGGCCTTTGCTCGGGCAAACAAGTGCCCTCCTAAGCTTTCGTGTTTCAGTGCTCGAGAGCGGCTTGAGCTTTGACACGCTGAGGCCTCTCTTGGCTGGTGTGGCTCTCCATCCTCATCCTGCTGCCCTCCATCGCAGCCTATCAGTGGGCAACGGACCTCCAGGCCCAGAGCTGGAAGCTGCTAAAAACCTGCATGGCATAGCAGATGCTGAGGCACAGCGCACACGGGCGACATGCTGCTGGCCCCTCTTCGCACAGCTCTCTTCCTATCCGCTGCTGGAGCCTTCGCTATCGCAGTGAGAAAGGTCCTCTGTGCACCAATTGGCGCAGCCCTCGCTGCCTGACAGGTTCCAGGAGAGACGTGTGTACATGGCCACGTCTTGTCATTGCCCCCTAAGCTGTTGCACGAATTTGGGCCACGATTTCACCTACCTTGGGAGCTGAGTCTTGAAAATCCCACCTCTTTTGTTCCTGGGATTTGGGGAGGACGTTGTGGGAATGCAAATATTTCACATTTCAGTTGCGGGGGGGGTAGTTGGGAGCCCAACTTAGGACGATGGGGGGTGCAGCAGAACAGGCATGATGTTGGTTCCATCATGATCTAGGCATTGATTTTTGCATCAGAGACCGGTTCTTTGCGGTGGGGTTCATCCATCAGTTCACTGAAGCTGCACCAGGTCTTCATGGCCGAGTTCAGCGTTAAACACACAACAGGCATGATGTTGGGAGCCGTAGATGGTGCTCCCCCCCGCCCAGGCATGAGGTCAAGTATTGACCCCCCTAAATCAAGCTGACACCCCCCCTTCGGCCAAGCAGTGTCGATAGCCTTAAAAGAAGGTGCAGCAGGCGTTTTTGCGTGTAGCTGCACAAGCATAAAAACCAGATGGCCTATGCTGCTGAGCCCATGTTGGGCTGTGGGCCCTTCAGAGTTCGCGGAAAGCTTCCAGGCCACGCGCATACTCCGGCCCGCGCCATGGGCATGGCGGGTTGCACCAAATCGCTGCTGGCCTGGCAACTAGATTCCCTGAATCTTCCTGACAATATGTCTTCGGAAGCGCCGTGGCAGAGTCCGCAGTGGCTCAGTAAGGGGACTCCACATTTGCCTGCGCTCTCGCGTGGGACGTCCTCGCAACGCGCTCGCCCTCCACAGAACCCGCGCCCGGCCTCCACGGCAAAAAAAAACGCAAGGCCTCCAGAGCAAAAAAACATGCCAAGCCTCCACAGCAAAAAAACATTCACAGCAAAAAAAAACTATCGGATTTATCAATACACCACTTCATTCCATCCCTCACTAAAGCCTAAACTCGCCACCCTTAGCTTAATCCAACGATAATTTTTATTTTCACACCACCTCATGCTGTCTTTGAACACAGCCTGAACCTCCGCCCCCAAAAAAACCCTCTTGAATCGTTCGAACAAATGTTGATTATCACGGTGGATTTATGAATCCACCATTGCATTACATCCTCCACTGAAGCATGAACCCTGCACCCTAAAACCTCAACCCCTCGCCTTGTCAATTGACAAACTATTCCACTACCTCATTCCATCCTTCACTGCAGACTATGAATCCTTCGAAAAAATGTTTACTATCAGGGGGGGATTGATTCATACACCGCCGCATTCCATCCCTCACTAAGCATAAACCCTCCACCCTAAAGCAAAAAAGGTCCGAGGAAAAACAGAGACAGTTTCAACTCCCCGCTCTAATCCTTCGAAGAAATCATGATTATCAGGTTGGATTTCATGGATACGCCACCTCATTTCATGCATCACAAAAGCCTAACCCTCCACCCTTTTACAGGACCTTGGACCGGGGACCCTCGACCATCCCTTCCCGTGGAGCAGCGGGGTACTGTCGAGATAAGAATGGCGCCCAACAGTAATAATATTTCGGCCTTATTTTTACTCACGCTCCCACCTGCACATGTGAATTGATGCACAACACTGCAAACCTTCGTTTGGAATCAGGGGAGCATCTCAAGTGATCCTTGCATAGACAGGCCATTGCCCTGGCTTAGGGTATGGCTTTTGAAAACACCTTCATGATCGTTTGAGTAACACGACTTTGCGAGTTGCAAGCTGAGCATTGTTCAGGGCGGGCTAAAGTTAGGGTGGGCAAGAACAAGCAAAGTGCAGCAAGCTGGCTATGTTCAACACCAAAGCAGGCCAGAAGCTAAGGAGTGCCCACCATCCCACCTCAGCCAACGCTTAAGCAACAAGCAAGTGTTACAAAAGGGAATGCAGGACAATGCAGGACGGTGACTTTCATTCACAAGTGGGCCACAGCCTGGTTGCCTCGTGCCATCTTGATGCCCTTGAGAAGAGGAGCTGGAACAAAGCGTTATCGACAAGTAGACTACAGCAGATTCCAGGGGGGGAGGGGGGGGGCTGCATTTATTAGTAGGGGGAAGCGATTATGTCAAGCATGTCATTGGTCCACAACAGCGATCAATTTGGGGTGCTGCCGGTCGATGGTACAAGCCATTGGAATGAGTTCGCATCCAGGCGTTGTCAGTGCCAAAGCAGAAGTAAACATGTGGATATGAGGTATGCAAACAAACCGTCCTTGATCCTGCACGTAGTCCATGCGATCAGAAGCCGGCATGATGACGCTCACGGCTCACGGTGGCCCAAACACGCACAATGTATTAACTTAAGCACAAATGCGCATGGCAGACATGATTTTCTTATTGTGCTTTTGCGCATGGGGTGCATCTCTGCACATGCCATTGGGCATCCAATCCATGTATATCACGCAGATTGGTCAACGCAATGATTTCAGACGCAGATAACTACCAGCACGGGAGGCGATCTTCTCTTGCCAGCTGCCAAAGTTGCTGATTCCACCCAGTGTTGTTGCACGTCAAAAAAAGAGTGTGCGTGTTCTATGCCTGTATCCATACCATCCCTCGCGGGGGAATGCCATGCACTTTGACGCCGGCGTCCGCCCAGAGGCCGTTTCCATTTAGTTAGTTATGGTGCTTGCATTAATGCACCTTCCAGAGTTGAAGCTACATGTCTGTGCATCTGAGGGGTTGGTTGCCTGCAGTTGCACGAAACAACGGAGCAAGTTTTGAGCACCCTGCAGCAGGTGGAGCGCTACTGTGCAGAAGAATGCGGGCCTCATTTCATGTTTGCACTCAGGTGGGCAGTCTTTCAACCAAATTTTGCTGGCCTTGGTTTGTGACAGGCAGATGTTGAAGGCATGTTCAGGCTTGGTTCACTCATCGGCAAGCTGTCAATCGCATCTTGTCAGGCATAGACAGAGCACTGCCGAGGCGTTTTGGGATGAGCAGCAAAACTTGCAGTATCTTGCAATGACGTGTTTGTACAGTAGCGAACTCCGAATCCAGATGCCTTGAAGCAAAAGCATTCTCACGGTTTGTGCTTATTGTGGCGCTCAGTCTGATCATCAGAGATTGGGGTCTGCTTAGCGGAGATGATGACCATCATGACCACTCCAGCTGACCTTGCTAATGGATCAGGTAACGCCGCATTTCTACTTCACCCTCTTTTGTACAACCCTTCCCTAGCTGTTGCGTCATGGAATGCCGAACTTATCATCCCGAACTCTGGGCAGGCGGCTCAAGACTCAACGGGGAAGAACCTTGAAACCAGATGTAGCCTACATTTGCCAACCTTTGCGGTGCTGGCGCGCTGTGCGCAAGAGCTTTGATATCGGGTACCTAAAACGGTGTTGGGAGTTGATTGCCTTTAACTTCCGATGAAGCATCTGCTGGCTCAAGTAGCAGCCGAGCGGTGCGGGAATCGGCCGGCACAGGGGTGCGCAGGCTAGACGCAGCCTTCTGACAGTCATTGTTGTGTTTGGGTCCCGTTGCAAGATTTTTTTAGGGGCACCGTCGCACAGCCAGGTACCATTTGGCGCCTCGCTGAGACGAAAATGAGGCCTAGCGCCGGGTACCCGCGCATTCTGCAAGGATTGCTGGACACCGCTGATGTGAAGTATCTGAAAGAATTCTTCGAGCTTCAGGTGAAGGCAGAGTGGGAGAAAAACGAAGCCTTTGCAGCTTCCAAGAATCGACCAAAGCCCCGGCGCTCACTGGAGTACTACACTCTCCTTAGACATCTGCACAGCGAGCCGCGAGATCCCTCACTGGAGCGCATCGTGTCAAAACTGTATGAGAGAATTGAGAAGCAGCTTGGGTCCGGATTTGTGATCGTGCATGATTTTTGGTCATGGCGCACAGCTGAGAATGTGCCCGCCGAGTTCATTCACCATGATCCTGATTTTTGGGTTGCTAGTCGGCACGACGGCTTCAACCTTTGGATTCTGCTGGACCATGCGGACATGTCTCACTCTTTTGACATTCTCCTAGAGGAGAAGAACCCAAAGCTTTATGAGATCGTGGGCGACAAAGCAGGGCGACTCCTACCAGAGAGAGACCCTACGAAGTGCGCAGGCTGTCCGGGCCTCCTCTTTTGGGATCCCTTGAGCCGTTGGCCTTTGCTCTACGAGTGTGCTTCCACGCGGACCTTGGCCATGGTGCTGGGCGTTGGCTTTAACAAATTTTGGGAGAAGTCGCAGCAGGGTGTCTTGCATCTCAAGAAGCTTCTGCCAACTTGGGCCTTCCGCTGTTTCATGTTCTTTGCCGGTTGGTGTTTTAGGCTCACACCTCTGCCAAAAGGCTTGGAGCTGAAGATGGAGCGCTTCAACATGAAGGTGGGGGATGCCTTGGTCCTCCGGCAGTACGAGTTGCATACCACGGACCAAGACCCTTTGCAGGTTCACCAGTTCCGTCTGGCTGTGGGTGTCAAAGTACTGCGCCAGGCACCAGTCACTCAGTACTGCTACACGGGGCCGGCCTCCCGGACTCGGAGGACCTACCCTTGCCTCCGCTGGGGTCTGGGGGAGCTCTTGCCGGACTTCTACCGTGCAACAAAGTTGGACTTCAAGCCTTATCCAAGCACCTACCTCACGCGCGCCCTCTTCGAGGCCACCGCCGAGGTGGCCCTGGGAGATGCTGATACTCGCTGAGAGCTGCCTTCAGCTACGCGGCTGCCATCGGTAGCTCTCATGCTCGGAGTAGGGCATTTAAAACAACAGTAGCTTTAATGCCAGAGCGCTGCCCTTTGCTGTGAGTTGCAGCACCTTCAGCTGAACATTGCTCTTGCATTGATTTCCTTGTGTCTGAAGCCGTAGCATGCATTCAAACTCAAACGCTTTGTCACAGTTTCTGATATCGGGCCTTAAGCCTAGTACGTAGCACAGAGAAACAAGATGGTACGAACCGCATAAGTATAAGAGCGAGCCATTTCCATCCGCCCTGTGCCTGGTGCACGCGGCACAGACTGGGATTCTGACTCTACTTCACTCACAAAAGTGTTCACAGCATAGTGCAAGACTTTTTAGTTCTCTACGCGTCCGGCCATGAAGCTCACTCTACCCTCAATTTGTACAGCTCTTGTTTCTGCTGGCGGCCCGGCTTACGCTTGCTTCTACAGCTGGCCTTGGGACTCCCACCTCCGAGCATATCCGGCCTATGGCAAGTACCCGTGGCTGTGGGTAGACAGAGCCACGCATATCCTTACGCTGAAACGCCTCTGGGGATTCTTGACGAGCCCTGTCAGGAAACTGCCGGACTTCTATACTGTTGGCTGCCCCAAATGTGGCACCGTGCCATCTATCGGTATCTCGCCCTTCATCCGCGAACCGTGGATCCGGCCTTGAAGGAATCCCGTTTCCTGTGGGGCTTGATCGGGTTGGGCCTCTCGGCACTTCGCTGCCGGTCAATCTTCTCGATGTGGTGGGAATGCCCGCCGGGACACTTGACCTTCGATGCAGATTGTACAGTGGCCACAGCACCGAGGCTTGCTGCTGGTCTTTTTCACCGGCTGACCCCAAAAGCCAAGATCATCATATCCTACCGTGACCCTGTGGAAGCGGCGTGGTCCATGTACAAATTCCGATCACACATCAAGGGACATTTCGACTTCGGCTGGACGTCTGACCGGATGTTAAGATGGAGATGGACTTGGACGCTGACGTGCTTGAGGCCTTTGAGTCACGCTTTGGGCGCGAGGACGTGTTGCTCATCAACTTTGCTGCGTCTTGGATCAACAAGGTTGTGCCGTGCTGGGTGGGGTATGCAGCTTGTCGCGCTTGTTCCCATACATGCTTTCAGTGTGATTCCCTGCTAAGGACCTAGCGGCACAGACGCAGGAGACAGTGCGACGCATCTACAACTTCTTGGCTGTGTGAAATCACACATGCAGCAACAGGATTCTTAATGATCAAGGGAAAACTTGAAGCCGATCATCCTAGGATGGGCCGCGCTGGGCAGCACATGCTGCTGCTCAACATGCATAGTACGGAGGCGGGAACCAGGCATAAAGTCTTTCCGGCGCTCTGCACCCAGTTGTCTGTTTCGGCAGCAGCGTTCATTGTCTTGAAATTCCGCTATCAGCGCAGTTTCAAGCATCTCCATATCCCTAGCAACTCCGGCTGGCAACCTTGCGTAGCACATCAAAGCACTTGAAGTTCTGTTCGAAATAGCTTCTCCTGCCCTGAATTGGATCGGATGTTAGGCCAATCTTGAACACAGAAACTGAGTTGCAACCAAGCTCATGCCGCACTGCATTGATCACCTCGACACAATGCCAAAGAATCTTCGAAGCAACAGCATTTTCGGAAATCACTCGCTGATCCAGGTCCGAGCTTGTCATCGCCTCTAAAGCAGGGGACTCAGGAACCCGAGTGCTTGCAGCATTGGATCATGTTCGGAATCAGTTCATGGGAAGATGTCTAGTTTTGCATCAGTCACCATGACAAGACACAGACCGTTACAGACCTATATACCTCTAGTGCTGCATACAGCTGCGTGATGGATTGTCCTGGGTTGGAGCAAACACGATTTCAGATGTGCACGAATCTTCATGAAACTACCAGCACATGAGCATGCATTTCGAGTCCATGCGATGGATCACATATGATCACATATTGTTAGGGCCCCAGCACCTTTGCCATACTTCACTGCGATCCGGTGGACTTGCTAGCTGACAGCCGGGGTGTCGTAGCTGCCTGACACACCGTAGTAACTACATGGGAGCAAGCTTGCTAGCACAGCATGGGGCAGTCTACAAGAATTTGGGAACGAAGACAGTACTCAGGGCACTACATCTAGTACGAGTTTTTATAAAGGTGTTATAAGATTAGGTTGGGTACTTCCCACCCATGTTACTTACATGATTACCAAGGACGATGAGGCACGTGAATCTTGATGTGTTTCGGGCGGGGGAATTCTTACATATGGTATGAGCTCTACATTTCAGAGGCGTTGAAAGGCATTGAACCCCTGGGAATTTTGGGTACATGTACCTTAGCCGTGATGATTTTGGAATGCTGCAATTGACGTATGATTTGTTTTACTACATGGACCTTGATCTGCCTAGTTTTCATGATTATAGCCCCCAGCCCTCCCCAAGCAATGGCAGCTGTATCGCTTGCTCGGTGCTCTCGAACATGTGCCCTGTACGTTTTGATGAGACGAACAGCCCAGAGAATTAAGCATATAGTTGCATTGATCAGGTATCAGCTTCAGCAGCCAGGATTTTGCAGGGACCAAATTTCAAGGCATAGGCCAGGCATCCCAACAACAGTGACCGATTTAATTCGCACCTCGAGATCATTGAACTCTCCATCACACTGGCGCTGAAACCTTGAACACAGGCCTAATTTGCACCTCTGTACGTGAAACAGCTCCCACCGTGCATCCTGCAGGGCGCTGGCTCCCACAGATGCGAATATATGCCAGCTAGTAGCACATCACACCTTTGTAGATGACAATAATCATATAATTCAAGACACGACGCCTGCAAGCCCTACAAAGCCCGGGGACATTTGCGCTTACTGGATGGTGGGATCCGTGGCATCCCACCGACAAATGGTTTATGACTGATGCTGAGCAACTGTAGCATTGAAGCTCCAAAATCAAAACAAAACTCCAGCGTCCACTTTGGCCGCCGAGATTGGAACTCACTCTGCGGCTGCTTCCTTCTTCGCGGCCTTGCGCACCCTGCTGAGCATGGACCTCGATCAGAGGAATGACCATCGATAGCTTCGAATAGGCTAGTCAGAGAAGTGTAGTGTTCATCGAGATTGCTGGATGAATCATAAGGCCTGGTTTCTGGGTTGCTTTATGGCTGTAAGCTGGGAACCTGGGCCTCATTGGACTACAATTAAGTCCTCGCCCCAAAAGCCTTCGCTCCCCAAAAGGCCTTGCATACCCAAACATATAGCAACTTGCACGAGCTGATTTCAGCACGAACACTATGATGATGTTGCCCAAAACCATGGCATCCTACTTTGGGCTTACACATCTCAGCCCAGTTTCTTTCAGCCAAAAGATCCAAGGGGAGAACTACGCCATCACATCCCCCAAAATCCATGAAGATTCTCCAACCCGGTCGAATATACTTTTCAAGATCGTATACAGAACTGAACTAGATGTTGCACAATCACACACCCAGGGTCAAACCAGGCTGCCCCATTCATGGCCCGATCCCAATAAGCTCAACACTATATGGCTTAAATTGTTCCATCCTGCAGACCTAGCAGATTGAACCCAGGAAGCACTCTGTGAGTTATCTATAGGACGAAGCTGGGAAATGGAGCATAGCATCATACCTCCACACATATAACTGTGTATATGCGCCTCTATATACATATATATTCATACACACACACGAGCTCTTAAAACACCCGGTACATGTTTATACCAGAGTCTATAATATATAGATATATACATATATAATTAGTTCCTAGAGGTTCCAAGCCCAAGAACACCCTCCCTGCCCCTCTGTCTCTCTTTGACTACCTCTCGCTCTCTATCTCTCCTTTTCCGCCAGTCCATTTACATCCCTCTCCCCAAGATAAAGAAGTCTGGACGTATGTAAAGCACGAAACAAAAGCCGCACACTAGCTAGATTTACTAGCGCTCACCGAGAGTTCAATCCCGCAGTCCCATTGAAGACCCTGGAGATGCAAGCTGCGCTCGAACCAAGCCCCCTGCAAATATCATTTCCGCGCAGCTGAACCCAGGACTAAAGACATATAGACCCTATACCCACAGATCCTTGTGAATAAGATGCTGTAGCCCAGGCTTGAACTATAACATTCTTAAATAACCTTACTGTACCTATTCCTCTATAAACCCAAAAGCAATATGTTGACCTCACCTCAGAAATATCCGCTGAGACCCCAGTTTGTCGGCAGCCTCCAAGGAGGAAGATTTCGCCATCCTCTGGAGTATGCGCTTTGTATGCATCAGGCTGCAATTAACATAAGTTGGGAGATAAGATTCATCCGCCACTGGCACTACATTGGGTGCATCTCACGCACTATTGGAGTCTCTGCAGGCATGACGGCAATCACAATGACTTGTGCCAAGCTTGAGCTTCTGAGCCTTGGCATAGAGGGTCTTGCACTCCTCTTGCAGCCTCAGTAGCTTTAAGTAGTTGTTTGGTTGGATCGTGTTTTTGTAATATAGGGCTTAGAAGATTTTTGAAGTAGACTGTTTACCAGAGCAGGTGCAACAGGTATACGACTCTAGCGAATAACATCCAGATAACCATGAAATCTGCAACCCGATCGCTTCTCACTGTAGCCAGCTGTGCGCCCTTCCGCGTGGGCTCCAGCCATTTCCTCATAGAGGGTGTCATAGTCTTGGACCACGGCATCTATTTTTTCAATGACCTCATTGAGGGTTTCTGTTCTGCAGCCAACAACATGAAGCACTTAAATCAAGCTAGCCACTGGTTGGCGTTTGCATCCCCAGCCACTGGGCTCCGGATCTTGTCCACGCAGCTATCCAAAGAGTTCTTCGCTTTGAGCACTTGCTTCAAGTACTCTGTCATTTGTGAAGCAACCTTAGATGAAGCTGACCAAGGGGGTCTAGCTACAGCTATAGGTAAGCCAGGTTAGCATCCTAGCAATGATATGAACATCCATGGACTGCTGGGGGCACTCTTGTGCTGATCACCTGCGGATCATGTTATCATCATCAGAAAAGCCAAAGCCATGAAGATGAACCCCCGGCTTGAACTTCAATTCGTCCCCTCCCTCGCCCCTGTGGTTCTGCTGCCTTTCGGGGCTTTCCTGGTCTTCCTTGCAGAGCGTGCCACTTGTCCGGATACTCACTCACTTTTCGAGGGTTTCATCGTCATACTCGCACGGCCTTAATTCCTCTGATTGAGCATGCAACCATCTGGACTGGGATAGAGGGTGTTGTAAGGTCACATGTGGCCCCAGGAATACTCAGCCACATATACCCTGCACACTAGACAATGGAAAGTACCCTGCAAAACAAACAGGCTCATCAGGGTAGCTGAACCTCAAATTCCCTCAAGTAGGGTCCATCGTAGAAGACTTACGATGATAATTTTTCCAGGTTCTGGCCCATCCAGCTCCCGAGTGAGCCTGTTGCCCGTGGTTCGAATGTATTAAGAACTGGACTCAGCTTTTCTTTGGACTCAGAAGGATCCAGGTGCACTCTAGTCCATGCATAGAAGTGCATGGCTATTCATGGCTCCAAGTGACGGCAACGGGAGAGCTACACATCACACCAGCAAAGACATATACTGCAGACACGTGTCCGCACTAGCCCTTTCTTCTTCTCCCAGGCGACGATCTTGTCGATGTGGGACCTTGAATTCGGGAGGCCAATGAAGAATTCAATGGGGTGCAAGGATGCTGTTGCTGGCTTTTGAGTGCATGCCCACCAGAATCGTTTTCCCACGTATATACTTCTGCACATGCATGCATCCATGCATGTTCGACATCCTATACATCACGGGATTGCATGGACAGACATGTTCCGAGCTATGTGAGGATTTGTCGAACTTTCTATACTTGTATCATGCCTGTTCTACGGGTGGCCCGCTAAACCTGAAGCCCTCAGCCCTCGAAACCTGAAGCCCGCAGCCCTCCAAGCCTTGCCTTGACAATGCACTACATACAGCCTTTAGACACCTGGGGGGTTTAGTGTTCGGGACATCACGGCAAGCTTTGCGCATTTTTCAGAATTGCAAACTAGGGGATCATGCAGCTGTGGATTAATGGGTCTGCTGCCTCATTTAGATGCATGCACGCATGCATGCATTAAATACTTGAATTAGGAATATAAGCTTGTGCCGGATCATAATTTCAGCTGGTGCTGTACGGGGCTTCAGGTCCTACATCGACACTAGAAAGATCGAGCCATTTGCTTCGAGAGGTAATATTCGCATGATGTATACAGTTGCTTGGCTCTTTATGTGTATGATCCATGCATGACTTGGTAACGAAAGCTAGTAAGATACCGGCCGGCCTACTAAAGTGCCGTGTCCGCCAATTGCAATTTAATAGTGACTAGAGTAGCCATGGAATCAAAAGTCTGTATGTCCTATATAGCTTTATGAATTTCAATAGAAGATGCAAATATGTTACCCTAGCTAGACTAGAAAGTCTCTACAGCACCAGAATCCCGGCTGCAGTTGTACAAGACCTCTGTGGACCCTGGCGAGGTCTATAGGGTTTACATTAGATCGTCAAGCTCTGAAAAGACATGCATGGATATGGTAGCATCTGCAGCTGGGGACGGTCAAAACACCCCAGCCTTTGCAATTAGGCCAGAATAGACAGGAAGGCTTGCCCTGGCTTAACATGCATGTATGTAAATGACAAGCATGCACATAAACATCTATTTTACTTGGGTGTGCGTGTGGCAACAGCCTGCTATGCAAAGTGGCTTTTCGGGAGACCAACCCTTTGGCTCCATACACATACTGCAATAGTTCTGGAACACCTGCATCGGACCAATCGTCCTCACCCATATGAGGCATCAACCATAGAGGTGCATCGCAGAGGCCGGGATTTGTTGAAGCTCGGCAGTAGCGTGGCCATCTGGTCTGCAAACTGTTTGGTGTAGAATCCTGGGCTAGGATGGGTTTTCTTCTGTTTCACAGGATATGTTCGGCTTTGCTTGAGCTCTGCAATTATGTAGGTACAGGGCGTGATCCTGAAGTGTGGCCGTATGCCTGCGTTCCCTTCAAAACTCGGGGTCTTCCCGAATATTTAAACTTGCCGTCGTTCGCGAGGTTACGAATCACAAGGACGAGCATGACCACGGGGCTTCCGTTGTTCATTCTTGAAAGCACTGGTCGGCCTACCCTCGTCGAACTTCAACAGCTTCCGGTCTCTTCGATGTCGGGAAAGGCCAGCTGCAGTGGAGAGTCCTTCAGCAAATTGCTTTGTACAGTGAGCACAGACAGCCGAATGGCAAGCTACTTAGGCCTGCTGTGACTGTAGTCAGCTTCTTTAGGCGTCTGGACTTTGGGCAACCAAAAACTTTAGACCTGTGTGGAGCTAGTTTTTGCCTCCCTTGTTGTTTGCCCAAAGGTCTCCTGCTGCTTGTGGTTCACTCGTGGCTACATGGGCCTTTGAGCTGTTGTGGTAGCAGTCCCGTGAAAATAGGTGTTCGGCTGCCTTAGGGTTCCTTACCCTATCGGCACTACCCTGGCTTTTGCAACTTTTTATTCGGGAACCCAATTTTACAGTATTGCGCGAGAAAGCATTCCTTCAGCTTGTCGGAACCCAGTCAATCAGTTGTCCAGCCACCGCCCCTGTGCCTTACAGATTATAGACCCCAAGCGTAAACGCTGTTGGGGAGTTCATAAATGATATCACTGGAACAGGGGCGTGCTGAATGTAGTTTCACGTGTCTTGAAAAGCTGACTGCCTGCCAGCATGGAACGTCTCGAGCTCGAGCCACTTTCTTGGGGAGCCCAAAATTTTGACTAACGAATGGCCCTGGAATGTTACAATGATTCTGTAAGGGGCTTAACTAAATGCTTTTGGGCTCTTCGGGTATAGACTTGCTTGTCCTCCTGTGATACCGAACCCCATCCGTGGCAGCACATGGCCTTCTCGCCTCATGAGGACACATAGGGAAAATCAGATGACGCCTTTGGGGCACTCTCAAAGAAACTTAACTGATAAGCTTGCCATGCAGAAACGGAAACAGTCATTGATGTTAGGATGGCTCTGATGTTCACTTATGAAGCTTGTTAGAAGCGAAGGGATTTCCGGAAACTGCTAGCAATTGTCGTAATGAACTACATAATCTATTATATTGTACTCTATGATGGAATATAATATATTACACTGACCTATAACCTGTTACATAATTAAAGCCCGCTGTGCTGTTTCATAGTCCCCCACACTTTTTTCAATTTCCCTGAGAAGGATGCTTTGGGCACCGTCCTATTGCAGTCGAGCCTCCACATCGCCACCGACCATGCTCGCGCAGGGCCTCAGGGTCATGATTTTGCAAACACATTTATTATTTTTGAGTGTTTAAAGCCCAATAGGAACTAAATAGATCCGACTGATGTCGCACACTATTTTATACGTACTTAAGCCCGACAGGGCATAAATCCGGTCTTTCGTTGATATTGCCCCAGCGATCGCTCAGGCCTTCGCTGCAGGTGCTCCAGCCTGAAAGCTTAGAAGTGCCGATCGGTCGCGGCGTGCTCGTGGCTGTAGTTGCTACGTTTTGCCTCATGCTGTTGCTGGGTCCGCAATATAGAACGTTTTGTTTGTGGGGTGACGTTCGGGAGGCTTTTTTGCCAAAGAGAAACCAAAAAGACATCTCGTTTTGTCTGCCAGGGGAATGAGGACTGAGGCTGCATGAGCTGTATGTGGAAATGGGAGGGAAGCCGCTGCTTGCAAGACGCGATGGCAGCAACTCCACACTTCTTCAGATAAGCATTCAACTCTCATGGCTCCTCCCAACAGTGAGCACCACAGTGATAATCCCGGTTTGCAGGGATTATGCTTCGGCTATGGGAGAATCCGCTACCGCAAGTGGACTCATGATTGGCGTTGTTCCCATGGGCGCGCTGATCGGCATGGTGGCTGGCAAGGGGCTGATTTCTGAGAATGACTGGAATCAGCGTTATGCTCGGAAGATTTTTCTTTACCTCCATGGACTTTGGATATTCTCAATGCCTGCCATGGCCCTGATCATCCAGGCGTCTGTGGAATGGGGCCCTCGTGGCAAACGCCTATCATTTTGGGGCGTCTTATCTCTGTACTTCCTCACCATGACTATTGGCAGTATGATGATGGTTCCATGGCGCACCATGTGGAATTTGTTTACACCCCAAACTGACAAGACGTTCTGGTCGATGATGACACAATGTTCAAAAACATTCGGCTTTGTAGGGGGGCCGATCTATTTTGCTTTTCTCAGTTTCCTCGTCGACGGGGGCCAGGCCAGTCAAGTGTCCCCGATCAGCATGATGAGCTGGGCGCTCATTGGCGGCTGCCGGGTTGGACTTTGGACTGCTGTTCGACTTTGTGTGATTTCCATCTCCTTTTTGTTGAAGAGCGCCCCCCCCCCCAAAGAAATGCTCTTTCAGTTTAAAGCCCTAGGTACAAGAACCCAGGTTTCTTCATCCAGGCGATCGAGTTACTGCTCGCTGCCGCCGTCTTCCCCACCGTAGTTCGGCAAGCAGACAGTGACTCAGGCCCGGACGGATGAAATTTTATAGGCATAAACCCACACAGGATTAAATAAGGCAGTAAGCATGCAGTAGTTACAAGCTCAACCTACGAATATAGAATCGCAATGGCATGCTCTATGTATATCGGTATGTTGTATTCCATTTCCCTTGGGCTGAAACTCTTACCCAGGTCAGCTGCAGGCAGGAAGCGATTACAAACTGGATCGGGTTGAAAGCCTGCCGCCCTCCACACGCGAGAGACTGGTCTGGCATCTCGACCTACAGGCTTGTAATTGCAGGAAGAATGTTATTGATAGTATAGTAGCTGTAATTGCCGTACTGGTTGTGATTGTACAAGTAACAATAGTGCAGCAATTAGCGGCATATGGTGGTAATCATTGTAAGAACATTGATGCCAGGAGCAATATCTATGCTAGCCATAAAGGTAAGCGTTGGATTCGTAATCATAGCAACAGTCGTATTGATACCAAGAATGGAAAACTGTAGTGGGAGTATTAATTCTGACGGCACGAATGCAAATAACATTAGTCATACTGATAGCATGAATAATGCTCCCAACCACCAAAGTTTCGAAGAACCCGAATAATCTCTCATCAACCTGGCAGTAAGTTGAAACCAGTCCTGAAACTCCAATGATCCACCAGCTGGGTCCAGCTGGGACAGCTTGTGGCAGCTTCATTGGATATCTGTTTTGACTTGCTCGCGTGCATCAGCCTTTTTTTGCGCTACCAAGTTCTATCTCGGTGTTTGCTCGCAGCTTTTTTGTGACTCTCGTGCAAGAAGTCAGTGCGGAGATTTAAAACATCCAGCAGCAAATAAGACTTTCCCAGAAATGTGCACTTTGTTTTTCTTGGGGGGGTCGGGAAAGCGGATCCGCCGACCATTAAAGCCCTACTTGCAAGAATCTTTTCTGAAAAAGAAGCCTGCTCCTGTGGGGCGTGGGGGGTCCCCTTCAGGATGTGGTTTGCTAGGGAGAATGGATGAATTTGTTTGTTTGCCAGTCTGTCGCATGCCCTATGAGGGACCCTCAAGCCTGTAAGTGCAGACGACCCTGATCACAAAACCCAGGGATGTAGGTAGGGTTCCAGCAAGCGTGCGAGGAATGTCGTGTACTATTGCTACGAGCGCGGCTTCACCATGTCCGCAATAGAGGTGTCCACCGTTATGATTTTGCAGGACTCGTACGGCTGGACTGAATCCCTCAGTGGAATGTCTTTCGCTATTGTCGGAGCCGGGGGCATAGTTATGACAGGCGTGTCCGCTGCTTTAGCATCTTGGAAGTTGGTCACCGAGTCCTTGATCTTTTTGAGCATTATGTGTCTGGGAGCGTGTAGTTCGATTTTGCTCTTTCGCTTTGAATTTCTCGGCCCTTTCAGCCTGCTTTTTGCTGACGTCGTCCTTTACGGTGGGGCCAGCGTTGCCAACGGCATTGCAGAGGGCTGGGCCTGCCGCGCAGCAACTGCGCGTACGAGCTACAGCATCAAGGCTTATCTAACGCACAGCATGATTGGCTTTAGCATATCCCGCTTTGGCGGACCGATCGTCGCGGGATTCCTGCTGGACCATGGAGGCCAGAACCTCTATGCTGTGGTGCAGTCTGCCCTCTGCTTCCTGGCGGCAGGAATGGTGTACCGCACCGTCTCTTTGGTATGGAACGGCTGGTGAAGATCAAGGGCCTGAGCAAGCATCTGAGAGTTGGAGACTTTTGTTAGAAGCCTTTGATTCCCGGGACTCTCACGAAGAGATCCCCGATTCTCACCTCTGTTAAGGAACAGGCGTTTATTGAGGGAGTGTGAAAATTGGCCGTTTTCCTCAAAGATATTCTCCTACATGGCCTCTGTGCGCAGGCAATCAGCGTTATTGTTGAGAGCAGCCATTGCACATTCCTTTCGTTTCGGGTTGTGCAAGAAACCTAAACTCCAATCCTGTGTCAGATGATGAAATAGCAGCAACCTATGGCAAGGGAGTTTAGACCCTGATTGATGCCACGGCTTATTTGCGCGTAGGTGGCCGACCTTTTGAGCCGGAAACTTCATTTACGCTGCAAGGGTGAGTTTTTCGATCCTCCTTTTTGTATTGCTGCTCAACATTGCCTAATCTTGACCAGAAGACTTTTTCAGTATTAGTGCTGGTATTACTATTCACTATTATTAGCACTAGCAAATCTCGTGTTGAGATGGCCCTTTATGCAAGAGGCCATTTAGCAGTTCTACAAGCTTTCCTCCACGGAACCCCAGGTTTTCTTCCAAGGAACCCAGGTTTATGTTGCTGAAGATAGCTGAACTGATAGCCGCTTTTCCCTGCCCCCCCCCCGTGCTTTGCACGCAAGGTTCATGCGGTCACTTTGAGGTTCCCCTTCGAAGTTTTCCCGAGCAGATTCTAATTTTAGCGACACTTTCAACCAGCCTTCGCAGTTTGATCAGCTCCCGCGCATGCTCCTCTTTGAGATCAAGTGGAGAGGGAAAACGCTCGCTGACCGGACCTCTGGGGGTTACTACAAGAAAGACCATGGTTTACTATAGCAGCGTAGAATTCATATACTATAGTATACTGATAGTGATAGTACATTTAATAAATGTGATAGATCAGTTATTATCGCACCTGCGATGCATACAGCTAGATTGTAGGGGGCCGCGGGTCGCTCCCTAAGCCCCAAACCCTAAACCCTAAACATCCCTAAACCCCAAATCCTAACTCGCCCTTTGAGGCGCATCATTATGCACATAATCCTAAACCCTAAGCCCTAAACCCCCCCAGCCCCACGCATCACAATGTTCATAGCGCAGAGGTTGAGATTCCACAAATAGTGAACCTTACGGCTGACCTTCAAAGAGGGTCACAGTCAACTCTCTTGACAAGGGAGTGTGATAGGTAGGGATGATAATAATCTAGGGGCTTAGCAGAGATGAATCATGCGTGGATAATTCATATAGGGATAGTAGCGGAGATGAAATTATATAGGGGTTATCATAAGGAATATATATATATATGTATACATATTTGCGTGTATGATCAAATAAAGCTCAACCCAATGCCCTAATCTTTTCACACCCTGAACCTTAAAGCCTAAACCCTCATCAAACAGCACCAAGCACCAGAAGCAAAAGGGGCCCCCTAGACTTCCAACCCTAACGGCTGAACCCCGTTGTTGTTGCTATTGTTATTGCTATTATTACTTGTTCGATGCTGCTAGTGTACGCTAGTGTTATTTAAGCTGCTATAGTTAGTGATATATATATATGTGTGTGTATCTGTGTGCTGAGGTTGCTATCAATCTGTTGCGATATCATTGGAGCGGCACGTTCACGTGGTTTTGTCTTGAAAAGCCGAAAGCCTGCCAGTGTGGAACCGAGCTCGAGCCACTTTCCTGAGCCCAAAGTTTTTCAAGAGTACTCTAGTCATTAGAGTCGCCATTGGATAGTCCAATGAATGAAAGAACCAGCACCTTTCTGCTAGCACCACGGTGAGTTATGTGTGGCAGCTTTTTTGAACAGATTCCGCAAACCCCCTAAACTCCGTGGACCCTAAAACTTGGTGTGAGCCATGGACACCTGTGGCAGAGCCACACCCGGTGGTTCAAACAGATACTTTGGCTCCTTGACATCATCAGTCACAGACTCGAATTTCGATGTCCCTGATCACCACTAATTTCAACTATCAGTCTATACGTGGTCGTTAGGGGATTGGAGACATGCGTGATCTCTTCTGGAGTTTCTTGGGCGAAAGAACCGAGGACCCTGCCATGATCTGCGGGCCCTTGGGTGCCTGCTAGCACAGAGGCTTGGACTTTGGGGAAGCATTTGAACCTCTCAGTACATCTCAGAACCTTGACCGTGGAGCAATCAAGCTTGGCACCTCTGCCTGTGTACGAGTTTGGCCGGGGTCGGCTCGTTCAAGGCAGTGGGCTTCATGCCAAATGCTGCGACATCTGAATGCTAAGCCGCTACGCGCGAACACTGGCTTGAATTTCAAAGCATCCCCAACTTTGCAGAATGCATTGCTAACGCACGTTAAGCGAGCCTTGCCCTGGAGGTTTCAATGCCCTCAGTCATTTCTCAAACCTTAGCATGTCTGTTTGGAAGGTTCGATGACCCCCTTTGCTAGGCCACGGATGGCATCCGGATAAGCTTCGCACCATGTGAAGGCCGCAGCTTGAGTCACAGTTCGCATTCCCGAAGCACTTTAAGCCTACCCTGATGGGCGACGGTCTGAAGCAGCTGGTACATGCGTAGGCACAATGCCCTGCGTCATGCCAGATGCTGCAAGGTATTCAAGGTCGAAGGCATCCCTGGGCACCCGAACCCATTCAGACGGGTGGTCGGCTATCACCTGCCAGACTGGCATGCGCCCGACGCCTTGCAGTTGCAACGTCCCACGGCACAAGCCCTGGCTTTTCAAGGATGCCTGCGCTTGCGCGGCCGTGTCATTTGATGCAGCTCTTCTCCTGTTAGGTTCCGGATATGTCGCATGTCATAGTCAAATGCCCTATAGATGGACATAGAACACCGCGGCTGCAGCTTGGTCAGCCTGGTCAGCTTCGCATGTGAGGGCTGCAAGGCCATGCGCCGCCTCAGCCTA